GCGAGAATGGGTGGACGAATGGATTGCTTCGAAACAAACATCGTTTTATCGAGATGGTATCGCCCAGTTGCCAGAAAGATGGCAAAAAGTTGTAGAAAGTGATGGAAAATACTTTCATTGAAATAATTTAAATAAATTTTTTACAATAAATGCTTTTTCTCAGTATTTTTTGGGCGGAAACTAAGTTAAGGTCCTAATATATTCATCATAGTCATATGCTTCTTATTTTTTTCGTTATACGGCAAGATACATATTTTCTGAAAATAAACCCATATAGCACAGCAATGTTGCAGCAACATTGCAGTAATATTATTTTACAATATTGCAATATTGCGATTTCATTGCGAAATGTTTTTGCAACATTGTTTTTGGATTGCAGCAACATTAAAATCTCCGCTTTTTGGAATATTTCAACACAATATTATAGCAATATTAATGCAATGTAATAAATTTGCAATGGTGCAATATTATCGCAAATATTGATTAGTGTCGCATACAAGTTGCAGGAATTTTTTCTGATAAGCATCCATACACTGAGAAAAAAGCGGTTAGATTGACAAAATTACATAAATATTTTATGCATATATCTCTAACTTCTTTTTTATCATATGAAATATTTGGATTAAATAGTTTCTTTTTGTTGTTGTACTAAATATTATAAGAAAATTATAATTATTGCTTCGACTATATATAGGGATAATACAAAATACTTAGGCTGGTATTCATAGTCGGTTCTTATATTTAAGATCGTCTTAAGTTCATCTTCAGATGCTGTGTGGTTCATTTCATTGGCTATGGAGTATCTAAAGGTAAACTTAAGGCAGCCTTAAATAAAAGATCTGACTACGAATACCGGCCTTAGTATCAGTTGAAGAAGTATCGCAGCAGTCAAGATGATAGACTAGAAACCTAGAGATATCTGAAGTTCTCGAGTTCGCGTCCGAGCAGTACTGAGTAAATTTTCAGGTGTGAAAATAGTTAAAGATCAAATAGAAGAGCTAAATTTTACTTAAAATCAATATAAACTGACTAGTTGAAGATATATCATATAAATTATTTTGTTATTAATTACTCGTTAATATAATGTTCCATATAAGGTTTTTGTAATGTTAATGAAATGAGTACCCAGATAGCACAGAGAGTTCAAAAACAATTCAGTCGTATGTCACCTATTCTGAGTTCATTTTTTATACAAAAATAATTCTT